GTCTACATAGTTTTGTAAAATTATGTCCTGACCATCCTTCTCAATGTTATTAATGAAATCAAAGGCTCTCCCAGACCCACTGTGATGTACATATTTACCCATTCAACGTGGAATAGCTGCTGTTGAGTTGCTATGTCCCATTGACTATGTTAGAAATAGATGACGAATATGTTATGTCATTCCTCCTCTCTGGTTGCGGAAACTAAATTAGTCATTAGTCGTAAAGATAATTACTTTAGTTTCAATAGGAGGTTGGGAGTTTCCTCTTCGTCCGGTTGGCGGATTTTCTTACAAGTTACACATCCTCGCACACCTCACTAAATTCATAAACTACGAAAATAAGTCCAATGCAGTTAATTTCACAAAATTAAATATCATAGTGCATAAATCGAACAAGTTGAATTTAAATGCTCGGTATTTATGATTTGAACGCCAAAAACGGTTTTTCTGCAGTGTACGTGTCACAAGAATGGTTACGTGCAGAGCCAAAGTACAGGTTCAAAACATTACATGACGCTAATTTTTGTAACTTTTTTATTCTCTCCCCATTATTATTCTAAAAGTATCTGAAATATTTAGGAGATTGGTGGGCACAATCATCACCGGCATGAGGATCGGCGCGAAAGGAGAAAGAGTTTTTGTACTTCTCTCTACAATGTGACGTTGGCACCATTAATCGACGGCTCCCGTCACACAATACCTTGGCAGCTACTTTTGTTGTGGCCAAACGGTTGAGCAGCTATGTTTGAATCGGTCCGGAAGGCTACGTGGAAGGCATCGTTCTACTTCCACAATCCAATTGTCACTGATAATGTGACAATAATTTGTTGACCCTTGCTCAGGTGCGCTGCCAAGGCTGGCAGTGCATGCTGCTGACAGCCTGCTGTTGTCCGCGTTTATGGATAGTGATGCAATGGGGTTCTGATCTTATGTTTTCTCTAGTTTGCCATAATCGACTTCCTAAACCATTATTTGCTATTTATTAATTATATTTTCTCACATAAAAATAGTTCGTTTTCTCTTTACATTAAGCACCATAGTACACTCTCTATGGGAATAACTAAGAGTAAAATTTCTTTTCTATTACACACATTAGAATAAAGGGGTCTAAAGTGACCCGAAATGCAGGTTAAATATTTAGTCTTAAGGAACACTTCAGCCCTTTTCCGCATGCACAATGACGACAGGAACAGTTAAATTGTGTACAACATAATCTGAAACACGACTTAGGGATGCGCCAGACAAAATGCCCTGACCTTTTGACTCCATTACGATCATATCGACGTTGTGGTTCTTTGCAGAAGTGAGGATGGCCCGACCAGGTTGAGTATCCACGTGAAGGAAAGCCCTTGACTCCAGACCAGCCTCCTTGGCCAAGCTCATATAATTCAACCCTAGGGCCTTACTTCTGTTCATTACACTCTCAACGGTTTTGGGAACGTCCTCAAACCGCACTTCCGGATTTTCCATGTCGATTCGCATTTCACCTGACGTGTAGAGTGGCTCCACAACATGCACGAATGTGATGAAGTCGCCAGGTAATCTGACATAGTTAAGGTACCACTTGAACGCGATAGAACAATTTTCGCTGTCATCTATGGGGAAGAGGATCTTGCGAACCCTCCGACTTTCCTCGCTGCCAACGACCGACATGATTGTGACGGAGTAATTAATGCTATCATAAATGCGCAAGTTTTTCTCCGCCTAATTGGTCAAATGAAAGGCTTGGCAGGTCATTGGTTCATCTTCCACGAGGTCAGACCAAGCAACGAACGACCCGCTTCAACTTACGTTCCAGAAGTAAACAGAATCTGCAAGTTCAATAAAATTCGGCCCTGTTTTGGCAGAAGAATGTACTTTATGTTCGGAGCAATGAAACAGACATTGTCAACAAATTTTTGCCACAATTTGGATGAGCTGAATTCAAGGCCGGATAGTGTTGTACGTACCTTCGACTAAGGCATATTTTTAATAAACTAATTAATGGTCTACTTTTGACATCCTAGTTCCTACCCAATAACATGAATGTCGGGCACAATGGCGCTTGGGAACCTACTTTTTTGGCGCACGAAAAATAAAACAGGCAAGGGAGAAAGTCCTTTTGGACAGAAACAGTGCCCCGCACTATAATGAGCTTGGGGCTGATAATGTTCTGACAACAAATTGTCACCCCAAACGCATTGGTTTCATCGGATCTTCAGCGATCCATCACAGATTACTTAAAACCCCTTCATTTTCAATTGATCATGGTTAATTGTTTATTTCATGATAGGGCAATAGTTCTAAAATTCTTGTGTGCCACATCTTAAATCCAGCTGTCACTTTAATTAACCATATCTTAACTTTGTTTGAAAGTTTTAAGAAGGAAAGTGAACGCAACTGAATTGTCTGTGTGTTGATTGTATTAATTTACCAAGGGATTCAAATCCTAGTGGACATGCTAATAAAAAGCGATAGAAAGTGCCTACATGGCTTTACAGCGAGGATTATGTAGCACCACTTACCGACTTAGTATCAAAGGCATACAATATAAAATGTAGTAATTAGTGCAATTACAACCTGATGTAGCACGTTCTATCTTATCATTTGAAGAACACTTTCTTGGGAAGAAAGCAAATCGTAAAACAATCACAATTAAAAAAACTGTTTGATCTTAATCTTGTAGGTATATTTGCATACACCTCAATTACTGATGTCTATGTTAAAAGAAGTTTTCAATGAATTGTTTATAAAAACTGTCTCGTCGCACTCGCCTATCGTCTGTAGAGGGAGGAACGACAGTCAGAGTGATGTTTGGACAATTCCGCAACACGTACTCAGTTATACTATCAAACTCATGCCTCTCAAAGTCGTTAGAGACTCTTACACGAGGTCCAATCAGAATGGTGTGGACACCTCGTTCACGTGCAGTACGCACGATCCTGAAGCCCGGACTGATGTCCAACTGTACAAGACCGCGACAGGGTAGACCAAGTTCGTGCGCCCAACGTAGAAACCGCCGTACAACGGTCCGCCCACCCATCATTGCAGCCTCTACCAGCGGGTCATTTGATCCAACTCCCACATTCTGCGATTCGCGCATCGGTAGTGTGGGCTCAACCACCGCAAGGATAAGAAGTTCGTCTCCAGGTCGGCGGAAGGACTGGGAGTACCAACGAAAGACTCGTTCACTCCCCGTATCATCATGGACTGGAAGGAGAAGGATTCTGCTTGTGCTGCTGCTTCCGTTGTCTCCTCCACTAACGTCCTTTTCGGCTGACTGCATGGTCCGATTTGAAGGGCACTGCTGCCAGCCTGGCCGAATCCCAAATGCGAGCATGCTTAGAGGGGAAGGGGTGCTTGCACTTTTGCGGTGGACGTAAACGTTGAATCCCAACTAACCCTCTTATGCCCCATATTAGCTTACCTGAATCATCATCAATGTATTTATTGTTCGGACTTTAAAATGCGGATGAAACTTGCAATAAATCAGTTATTGTTTACCAAGTTGATGATGCTGCCATCATTTCCATGTATGTATTAATGTCAGCTGATTTGATGCATTAATGCATGCATGTTTTGAGCCAAAATCCAAACGCCTCAGAAATATAGGCGCCTCCAACTTCTAATAAACTGTAATATCACTTTGTTTGCATTGCTTTGGTAAAATAAAGTTAGCTGTCAGGAGCATTTGATGCTGTGCCTGTAGATTCCTGAAATTACTTTATTGGCGTAGTACATGGATGATTTATCGATATTTAGCAAGGGGACAAGGGGATGGGACCTTTGACATGGCCTGGAGAGCGTACCACTGGGCTAGAGTGATATGGCCATCTTAGTTACCAAAACCAAACTGACAATCAAACAAACAAAATATTGCAGTAATACTTTGTCCGAGCAATCTATGGTGATGTGGACTATGTTTCTTGAGACCTTTTTGTTTCTCAAATGAAATGCCTCTTTGAACATGTGGGCATTTGTTCATCACAGTTTAAGTGGATTTTTCCTTTAATTTGCCACAATCTGCTCGCAAAGCGAAGTTTAAATTGGGGTTTTAAAACAATGCTTCTTTCTACTTATTCACTTGAGTAGAAAAATAACATGGTGCTTGAAGCACGGCTACAACCTTGATTCTTTTACTGAGTTAGACGATTGTCACTTGACTTAAGCTTCCTCTTTGGAGGGTAATCCTCATTTCTCCCCACTACGGGAGCCTAGTTAAGCCGGCATTATGGATAAAGTCATTGGATGAGAAACTTTACAACCGCACTTTCCAATTAACGTGGTCGGTGTTCCACTTTCATTTACTATAACAATCCCCGTCCTACAAGGTTGTGAGGATTGGCTAATTTTTTCATATGCTCGCCAAGTGAAATGACCTTTACATTAGGTTTTTGCTTTGATAATGAGAGAATTGGAGATCTCTCTAAAGGTTTTAGCAAAAACTGGTTTGTTTTCATGCGAAGCTAAAGAATGCTGTGATAAGAACAAATATACTGCTTTCTGCTTTTTAGAGGGAGTCTTCAACTCAAAGGTTCGCAATGAAATGGATGCTTAAGAATGAAACCACAAGGTGCACAGTGCATAAAGCGTATTCCCGCCGATCTTAAAGGCAGCGTCCCAATGGGTAGGTCCAAATGGGGTTTTGGTGCACAGATATCATAGACATTTGGAAGCGCAGAAAATATGGTTAATGGAAGGAATAAAGTGCTTGACTTAGCCAAATAGAGACCTGGCTTAGGTTGGATTTTTACAGTAAGGAATGGGAACAAACAGAAATGGCAATGTCAATCGCACCACAATAATTGGGAATGTACATCGAGCAAAACGTTTACGTATCGCCATTAACTATTGTAACAAGTGTGTAAGGTGTGACTAGAACCATTCAACTGCTGTGAGGAGGTCAAGTGATCACACCTATTGAATGCATCAAGTTTCATCCCGAAGCTTCAGGTCTCATGATGGCGAGGAGTAGGTGCCGATAGTGCAGATAGAGTTAGGGGTGTTTGAAGTCAGCGACTTGTAAAAGAATGCTAATGATTTAACTCAAAGCGCATCACTAACGGATTCATTTAAAATGCAAGTCGAAAAAATTGTTTGTATTGCGGTGAGGCATAGTTAATTCAATTATTATCGATTGTGACTCAAGTATTACCTAAGGATTCTGGGAAACTGTAAAATAAAGCGCTAAAAGCGAAGATGGCAAATGGATGAGTAACAGCCTATATGATTGACTTTTTGCGTATAGAATGCTGCATACGGACACAGCCCTTTTTGAGAAGGTAGCTACAGGCGCCGCCAAAACGGACTCCGTGGGAGACGAAAACTATGCAGTTGACCAATTCTGACTTGCACAATGCACAGCGATCTTGCCTACCATAACTCACGTCCTACAAGTGCCTTTCGCAATCCAACGACGAATCTTACGCACTTCCTCTCCAAGCCACTGATGAGCCATTCCAATTAGCAATCGTCGACTCACAAGTAAGGCACCCCTTGACCGCATTCACAAAAATTAGTTTGTCGTCATCGCAGTAGCAGTACTGCACGTATCAATTAGATCCGCATTTGTAGTTTTCTCTTGTTCTGACATGGAGAAGAATTTTTAAACTCATTCTGCTAAATCCACATGTCGTCTATTCCCGGTTTGCCTGCTAGCGTAAGTGCGTCTGTAAATGATATGGCTGAAGCATTTCCAACCTGGCTTGGAGATTTAATCTAGTTTTGTTTATCAGTGCCATGCACAAACACAAAGCATTTAAACGTACCGTGGAACGGTTAAAGGAATGCATTTATTTTGAATTGATCATCCAACATCAAAACAAGGCTGTAAATGTGAAACGAGTGTGCAGAATGCGCAGATTCGCTACTATTGGCTAAAGAAATTGTTATGACGAACCTCGTGTCTCTTTGGTAGAGAAGTAACGTTAATTCGCACGTCAGCATTAAGAAATCTAGTTTTCTTTAAGTCAATCCTTGCTGTTAACAGTCATTTGTAAAGGCATTGCACCTGTGCAGCCGGAATAATGCATTCGAAACGTTATGATGATTTTATTAAAAAAATGCATTGAGAGGTCTGATAAACGATAATCTTAACTGCTCTTTTTTGGAATTTTAACGCCAAAATGGGCCATACATTGCACTTTGGTTAATTCCAGTGCCAGTTATCGACTCACATTTGTTTAAAGTACTTAAACTATAAGCACAAACACAGCAACTAACAATCGCCTCCCGCATATTTAACGCATAGTTGTGTTTCACTTTCCCCGATGGAAAAGAGGTGCTCTGATTGTGCTTCAAAATGCGTTCAGATCGTTCATACCGAAACTAGGTAGTTAGTTGATAACCCTACTAAAATGAAAAAAATCGTCTTGTACGATTTCCTTTTATCAGTAGGCACGGCAGTCCTCAAGCCGTTAACTGTATGGGGAAGGAAAATCAGTAAGTCCTAAACCTAAATATTTTGAGTTCGTTGATGTTTAACATAAAATGAAAATCACGCTAAATTCTTCCCAGAATTTAAAATTCATGACTGACCTGGTTTTGTATTTCATATGAGAATTTTCGCCTGATAACGAAAAGGTTGGAATAAAAGCTAGACTTTTATGTGAGATGAGCCAGTCTTATCAGTAATGAGCAAAGGGAAGAGGAAAGTGAAAAGAATCTTAGGTTGGTGGGCTAGTAGAGTGACAGCCGTCGCATGCTGCCGGTAGGTTTCTCGTCGTCCGGACAGGGCACAACTGTGACAGGAATTTGAGAATGGTGAATTACGTAGTTGCTCACGCTGCCCAGCAACGTTCGTCCGAGGGCGTTGAGTCCGCGACTTCCGACAACGATGTGGTCTACATCAAGCTCCCTTGCTGCCTTCATAATGGCAACGCCAGGTTTCGAGTCCGAACGCACAAAAGCCTTCACATCAAATCCCGCCTCTCTACCCCATGCGAGGTATTTGTGGCCTAGAGCTTTCCCGGAATCTACTGATTTCTGCAACTGAGAAGGCATTTCGAGGACTTCGGAGTCTTCATCCTTTGCAGCGTTAATCGAATTAACCTTTGGGTTGGGTTCAATCACATGGAGAAAAATAACCGTATCATCATCTCGATGCAGATTCTCCGTGTAGAACTTCAGAGCTCGTTTGCAGTTTTCGCTTGTGTCGATTGGTAAGAGATATGTGCGACCCATCAAGATTCATCTATGTTGTACAACTTGAGATCGCTTTTATGTGTCGATTTCCTACCGCAGATGATTGGCGATTAGCGTTGTTGACTGACGATCTTGGATTGGTGGGTACCATTGGTGCTTGACATGCTTTGGCATGCACCAAATTAATTATTCAATTTTTTGCTTCACTTTGCCCTACTTTCGAATCTCGTTAAAATTTAGCCATCGCGGAAGGTCTGCCTTTTGGTTGCGTGAGAAAGTCCACTGAAGATTGCTACCATTGGTTGGTGGATCAAGACTCATATTGTGCCATGTAGCTCTCGATGCGAAATCTGAAAAGCAACAGCAAGTCTAGTTAACAATAATTTTTTGAGCATATATTGCCTTAGCCGTGCTTTAGCTGTGTTGCAGCTTCGGGTTCACAATCATCCTGTAAAAAAGAGAAATGCGTTTTACATTTATTTTACCATTTAAACGCTCCCACCTATCAACGCATGGGGTTGATATTTCCAACACTGTTGCTCAAATTGAGTCCTAAGAGCAGGAAATCGTTTATTTCAAGTCAGTGTAACTTATCAGTCTTTGACACACAAATTCCATGCTGTCATGCCTTGTACTCAATATTTTACTACAACATTCTCCTTCGATGCTGGCGACGCTGCCATCTGTCAGCTTTACCAGGGCTCGCCGACCTCCGCAGCGAACCTCGTAAACAGATTTGGCCACATGACCCCATAGTACAAGTGAATCAGCAGGCTATGCAGTTCTAGCATTACGATCTATTCAGCCTAAGATCTCAAATGCAAAAACCCCCCGCATGACTATGACTTTTACCTGTCTTCACACCCTTATTCAAATTGAGCTATGTGAACTCCATGCGAATTGTTGTAGGAAGATTTGCCATTTCACTCTTTAATTATTCTATTACCGTCTGTCCAACTGACATCCAATTGGAAAGAATCCTACCTACCAAAGCATTTAAAGACTAAGATGTTCACTTTAATCTCAAATGCCTGCAGATTTTATGCATTTATTCTGACGATAAAACCACTTGATTTAAGACTCTCTCCAACACTGGAAGTTATTACTTGGTGCAATTTACTTGGACAGGACTAAATCCTGCCTACAATCTGACATAATCTCCATTTAACGCTAAGTGGGGATCTCAATGCAATATATTTCCCATTTGAACTAACTTTAATGAAAACGTTCTTCCCGAATTGGTTTAAATGATTGAAGACGTACTAATATTGCTAAGAGTGAATACGTAAACAGTACATACCGCAACCCAAATATCAGCCTGCGATGAACAAAAATTAATGCTATTGCTTCGACGGTGCGACATGAATAGGCGTTTCTCGTTATTCTCTGGGCACTGCCATCCGAGGACGCACCAACCAGCACCAAAAGGTGCTTAAAAGCTATGGGCTGATCGAAGGGAACGACATCGGAAATCATCCTGACGACACTGATTGGCTGCTTTCCATTACGTGGGGATCACGTAGACACGGGTCTCACAAACAGGTAGACAGCGACGAAGCTTAGAGGAATTCGTACGATCCTTTATCTCTTCATTCAAAATAAAGCTAAATGGCTGATACTATTTAGGTACAACTGCCGAGAATTTTACGCTTCTCAACTTTCAACTGCGACCTTCTTAATTGATATAAGGAACTGTAATCAAAGCCACCTCCCAATAAACCGACTTCTTAATGATCTAAGTTCATCACTCCCACTGAACTCGCATCCCATTTACCATGAATTGCAAGTTAGGTTATGGTGAGGATCCATCTACTCCCTAACTCGATATGCCATCGAATCTCGTCGATAATTACTTTGACGAATTGGTGCAAGTAAATGCACTAGAAGCTTGTAGTTAAAAGCCAAAAACGCTCCGAAACGCTGATTTACAAATCTCTCCAAAGTAAGACGCAACCGCTAATACGCCAACGGTGAAAAATAACGAATTGTGGAACAAAGTTCTACCCTCCAAAACCAAGAAGCATTTAGCGAGCCCTACACAAGCTAAACTGGAAACTGTCATCGAAATGGTACTCTTAGCACAACAGCATTTTATAGCTGCTTTTCCTACTCATGGCGATTGAAGAGGCAATCTCCAAAACCGCCACCCCCAGTTTGATAAGTTCAAATCCTCAACCGATTCGGCAAATTAACCACACGGACGTTCCATTCGGTGTACATTTCATGACTACTGCTCTCACTTGAATGGCGGCATCGACCTTTGCTACAAAAAAAACCTTTCGCTTATACCTTATACCCAACGAAGCACAAAACAGCGCTCAGTTTCACCCGTTCACCTTACCAGCATGTTTCGACTGGTTTTCCTTTTTTGCCAAAGTAGCCAAAGTACAGTTTAGGACGAAAGGGCACAATTTGGTAACTAGGATAGGCCACACAAACCCCTCAAACTGCAAAGTTGAGTTAGCAAATAGTAAGGTACAGTTGCTCTCGTGTTTTCTATCGTGACCTTACTGATGGTTCGCCTTGAGCCTACCTTCCCCAAAATTTCATGTACCAAAAAATATGTTCCGTAACCTTGCCTGTGACTGATGCCCAAGGTCTTGCGCCAGATGCAAGTACAAAATTGCCTATGACTTTACTGAACCTTAAGTGCGGCAAACTCGGTAGAGCGCCAGCCGAGCCTTTGAAGCCTAACCAAGCACGTATGTTCTCAAAACAAAAAATTGAATTTACGTTGACTTTTTCAGAGGAAAATTATTCAAGTGACCCATTTCACCAATACTTTCCAATCCCAATGGCCAGATCAAAGTAGTGAGACTAAATAAAAACTACCTACTTATTGAATGATTCCATGAAAGACGGAAATAGGTTCGACCTTTCTACCTTCCTTGCCGAATAACTAAGCGCTTCAGCGTCGCTGACCCTAAAATGTTCCATAAAAAGGGGAATAATTTGAGTAGAAATATCCAGTCGACTTTGACGCCACAAGACCAACAAAAAATCTACACAAACGACAGATTAAGAGTATACCTTGATGAACTGTAGCAAATAGAAGGCTTACTGCCTGCCCTATAAATGAACAGAGCTTGCCGAGGTACTACAATAATTTGAGTAGCGTAAGAGAACACAAGCATACAGCGTTCGCGCGCTTGAAGTCAACTTCCTGTGTAATCGATGCGAGAAGACAAGCGCATCCGGCCTGCTACATGCAGAGCTTGATAAGAAGACTAAGCTGTGTGGATGGAGAAATGTGAACACGGCTCCCAAGTGCCATCTCCTCGGGCACAAACATGCGCTTATCGAAGGTGCAACATCGACAGACAATCAAGCAGCAATGGTTGAGTCGAGTATTAAGCACAAAAGTAAACCTAATCTAGGACTGACTACTAGGAAAGTCACGAAAGTATTAATTTACAGTTTAAAATTAAGCAATTGTGCCAACACAACAATTTCCGAAAAATGGGAAGAACCCAGTAGACTAAAGGTGGATTTGCACATTTAGCTAGAAGTGGAAGGGATCAAACACTTACTTGTGGTACATCATTACCATTGAGGTGGAGAAACGAAACATGACCACGTCTCTGAATGCAGGGTGAGGACAATTCGTACGTAGCCACGCCCGTCTGCGCTGTACGAATATCTCAAACGCAAACCATGGGAGAAGACAAGGTCTGTGCAAGTATTTACCATCAATCAAATAATGTAATAAAAGGACATTTCATAGTACGCATATCGTGTCAATAGCACAATGGTACTTTGGGCTTCTTAAAGAGCTGGGGGAACGATTGCGACTGGGATGGCGGCATTGTGCACAATGTAGTCGCTTACGCTGCCCAAGAAGGTACGCTTAATGGCTCCAAGTCCACGGGAACCAATGACGATTATGTCTGCCTGATGGTCTACAGCGGATTTTACAATCGCCGCACCAGCTTTCGTGTCCACATGGAGAAAGGCTTTGCAGTCCAAATTGCTCTCTTTAGCCATCTGCATATACTTTTGCCCAAGTTTCTTGCCCGCCGCTATGCTCTCCTCCATAACCCGTGTCATGTCATCCACCATGAGAGGAGGCGACTCCATGGCCAAGCCAATCGCTGGAGTTGTATACACAGGTTCGATTACATGAACAAAGAAAACGAGGTCATCAGGCTTTCGTAGGTTGGCTTCATACCACTTGAATGCCCTCTCACAATTCTCGCTGGCATCGATCGGAAAAAGCACGTTACGACCCGCAACCATGCCGATGTGTCAGTGAATGCAAACGTTAGCCATACCATGCCTCGATTGACCATGCTGTGGGAAGTTTAATTGGCTAACCGTGAATATGTGCGTCTCATTGGTGGGCTGAGCCTATACGCCACTTGTCACTGCCCAATGAGTGGACGCGACTTAAGCATTGGCTGGGCGGCGATTACACATTAAGCCCTGCGGGACGTATACCGTGGCTTTGCTATTAGCCTACCATCACCACTGGTGAGGTTGACCCTGTATTGTGGCACACGAAGGCGCTGGGGCGTTTGGAGCGCATGATTGTAATATTTGGTAAACTGCAAGAACGTTTAAAGAATTTGGAAGCATCGGTCTTTAGAACTTTTGAACGATAATGTCTAAGAAATGGCGTTCATTTTCCATTCCACTTCCACAATTTCTTGGTGGCTGAATTGAGAGTGGACGATAATTTCGCGCACCCAAAACAATGAGCTGATTTATAGAAACACTTTGATGTGATACAACCCTCTAGGCTTGCATTAACAGCCAAAACAGTGCTGCAAAGACAGGGTTGGCATGAGGCTAGGATGGGAGATATTCACAACTAGCATGCATACTGGCCACAAGTAACACGCATACATGGTGCATAGATAACCTAACAAACGTCCTGAGACTTCCCATTTGGATGAAGACATTAAGGTCGGACGAAAAGTGGGGAGGCCGGCGTTCAGCTTGGCCCAAAGGCCATCCTAAGCAAACAGGGACAGGACTGGTGGTAAAGTGACCACCAGTCATGCGGGTGGTGTTATAAACAAAATACTACAGGCTGTGGCCTGCAATTTTATGTATCGATTGCTTTCGATTTGCTTCACTATCAAGCGACGGTTTCCCACTAAGTGGTGCTATTTTCGACTGGATGCTAAACACGAAGATGTTGAGTACATTGACAGGTGCGGATGTTTCAAAGAGTCGTAACAACTGATTAGTAAGCCACGATCGGAAAAGAGGTATAGCACAATTCATCTCTACAGAATCACGGTTGTCCTAGAAGCTTTTAATGCTACTTCTTTAAAACAGCAACTGCTGGCTAATAGCTACATAGTACTTCGAGCCAATAGTATCGCCACATAGGACCATCACCAAAACAGATACTTTAAAAGTGCGGCATAATAAAGTCAAAAAGTCTAGAGTTTTCTAAAAACTTATCTTAACTGCACCCAAAATTTAGTCGTACGCGAATGAGTTTTAAAAGCACTGCCGGTTTTGAGACCACCGTTCGGAATTCAATGATGGGACCACGCAGGTTACATGAAGGGCTTCAGCATCCAACATAGATGGATTGACATGAAGCTGAAGAGTGATCGAAATCCGCACTACATAGGCTATTACGCAGGAGGAAGCGTATGTATAGTAAATAGGATACCAACCACCACAACAAGAGGAAATGGAGGCCATCCGTTTTATGGATTGGCTGCAAATGAAGGCTTTGCTACACGCGAAGCATCAGCAGCGCCTCGTTTATTTGATCAATAGCATTTCATGAAGATGGTCTTTTACAGCGTAAAGTACACTCGTTCCCCAGGGTGCGGTATGCATATTTCCAAACATTTTTGTTGTTGAAATAGGCTTTGCTCTGCTTCCAACAGAAGCTCTATGTACTCATTGATGCTGACAGGAGCAGCCGTTAAAATAATAAAGCACCTCTTCTGGTGCTTAATGTCTTTGGTGGGTGAAAAAATCAGATCATTGATTTGCACAAGCTTAAGTGAAGAATTTTATGTACAAGCAGTTGCTCGCTCACCCGCCTTTGTCCTGAATGAAATTAATACAAGCTAAAGCGCGCCACACGGGAGAAATGATTGCTTAAAAATACATTGACTATTCCTTGCTCCTTAGGAAATGGAAACAAATGCCTGATCAGTTAGTAGGGGATAATGGGCAAAATGAGTGGACTAGATTGCGCGAATCGCGTATAAGTGTAACGCAGCTAAACTATGTTAAAAGGCGGACTACACTTATGAGGGATTGAGGGCTACCATGGTTTGGATTGAGGTTGTATTTCATCTGTTTGAAAGTGGTTAACAATTATTCAAGGGTTTCAAAGTACGCTACTTGGTAACAGACTTTTAGTAGTTGCAGTTAAACTCTGAGTAACACTACGCGAGCACATCAATCCACAACGCATCTCAGCGAAACTGTGTCACCGAGGCCATAAAAATAAATCATCACCTCTACGTACTGGAAACGTGTTCAGCATAGCCAATAGGCATGAATAGCGCACCTGAAGTAGAGGTGAGACCAAACAGATTGACCAACATTTCAGTGTAAATTGGAAATTAGATAGCAACGCTGCGTGAAGGCATAGTGTATGTGGCCTCTCCTGCCTAGAACCATTTGAAATCCATTGGCTTACATCACATTTTACAAGTTTTAGCTTTAGAACATAACACTAAATTTCAGAAAAAAATTGGCCATAATGTGGTAGCAAAAGTATGAAGTCATAGCCAGAGTAATGATAACTCGGCTAATACTACGTCTTCAATGATGTAATTGTTTAAATAATCAAAACAAACGACCTTATGAAATGCACGAATATCTAGGAAAAGGGGTGGTTTGACTCATACTACACTTTATCTGACTATTTGTGTTTGATATGTAATTTACCTTTATTTTAGCGCGACAAGTGTGACAAATGGGGTAGCTTATGTTCGTGCAAAATCGATGGACATGCGTTCACGTTGGATATTCTGCATTAAATTGGTTCCTTTCCGTTTCATTTCACCCAAAGTTATTGATAGACATGCAGTTTCTTAAGGATCTTACTGATAATGGCAAGCACGGCTATCCTTGTGCTTTAGGACGCTGCAGTCAAACCCTATTACTGTGACGCCGTGTAATTAACTTTTGTTCTCGTGTTTCCCATCCAGCTTTATGAGTTTTGGAGTGCTTTAACTTATAGCTATGCGTCTAATTCTTCTAATAGTCTTTCTGGTCTAAATGACAATGATTCACTTCGCTTCTGTTTAGAAATTTATATAACTACAGTTTACTCATAACCAGGCTACTGCGGAATGCTAATTTTCGGGAACAATAGAATGCGTAACGTTTTTGTCTTGATACTGAGTGCTATTTAAATATACGATCTACTTATTAAACATTAGAGAAAGGATGTAGCCTACTGAATCATAGATGCACAGAACGCCCGTGCATTGCTCGAATTTCGGGCTCTAACGTCACACCACATTGAACCCCTTCTAATGAGGCCTCAGTGGTGATTTTGCAAAAACAAAACAATTGAGTGCGGCTACTTCGATGCTACAATCATTACACGTCTTGAATCAATGGATCGCAAGTTTGGTGCATATTATTTGACATCATTTTATGATCCCAATAAATGGTTTAAGAGGGAAGCATGTTCATTCTAAACGTACATTCCGCTACATCTCCAGACGGCCCAGCTACACACTCCCAACATTGAGCCGCTGGCTGGCACATTGCACCGATGATAAAGCGTAAGCTTTGCGACCTCTTGATTCCCTACTACTCACCAACCTGACATCCGATCCCATGCGCGAGGTGTGCATGATGTAATCTCAACCACCATGAGAGTAGTTGATACTCCTAATGAATGTTTGCTTGGTTTGCACTCAACTGACACCAGAGGCGTGCATACTGTCGATGGCTCCGTTGCCCAATAGCAAATAGACAACCGGTTTGGATTCGGTGACAGTCGAGTCCTTCCGCTCCCAATGTTACCCTCCTCTAACGCGGCAGCAGAACGTGGCTTTGCCTCCTGTGCATCAACAAATGTCTGTTGGCAGAACTAGACGTGCTCTACCAACCTGCAGTCTTCAGTTTGCCCTAGGGTCACCATCTCCTTACTTGCATTCCTATCTGCATTTTTCTTCAAATTCTGCCGTCTTGATTCTTAGCTTCGACTTCACGTTCACAGTGCGAAGAACCCATTGTCCCCCCTCTTCCTGGAGTGCATCCGTTGATCCTTACGAAGTTTCTCAGTGTGACAACATCGCTCAGAGCTCCACTATGATTTATTACTATCGCATTTGCCTTTAAAGTGGGAATATATAAATGACCAGGAAGCTTTCAGCTTCGAGCACTTGCCAGCTTGTTGTACACACCAAAGACAAAGTGCCATTTTGTATCCTGAGAGTTAAAAAGTAGTATCAAACACATTTCAAAGGTGGATGTCTGGTGCTAAAGGGCGTCCGAGTGTACCAACGACAAAGCGGTAGAGGTATATGCAACCGACTGCAGTGGAGACATTAAGCTGATCGACTCAATGGACCTCAGGAGAGAAAATATACGTAAAGGCAGCTGATGAGGTAAAATCAAGGGTCTGAAATAATGGACCTTGGTAATCCCATGTTGAACCAGTAATAAGAGGCAAGGATGCATCGCTGGATGACGACATTATATCAAGTAAAAGTGCACAATGCCACCACTCCCAGTCTAAATGAGCTCTTGCAGTCATCAATATGACACCCTTGAGAAGCCAACTTCTCATTTTGTCTAAAACCAAAACTCGCCAACTCTTAATGAAGTGCATCTAACAACTGAACCGATTTTCCTACAACGACCAATTTTAATCAGAAGAGTACATTAAAACCATATTGGGGATTATTCAAAGGCTATTCGATGCCGAAGACAGGAAATTGCTGCTGCAGCTAGTAATTGCCGGAAAATTCAATCTGGATTTGGAAAGCGTCTATCCTCACGTTAAAAGTAACAATTCCAACACTTTCATAATAATAATAAGAATAAGAACAAGAAATCACCTATTCCAACCGTCATGAAAGGCTGACTAGTAAAATGTATGCGAAATACATTAAGGCTAACCGATATCAAGGTTTTAATAGATTGCCTTTTTAGGGTCCAAGCTGTGAGAAAAGATTTATTTGTGAGGTGGTGAAAGAAAGTATCCTCGTGCGCATACGTAAACCTCGGCAGAATTCTTGCGACTAGCGTCGGGTTTAAGAATGCGCACTGCGGAAGAAGATGACGATCTGTCAGTGGAGTCCTTGGGACCGCGGTAAAAGTGCTCGAGGAGTCTCATGAACTCCGCTACCTCGGGGCAGCTCCAAAGCTTCACGAGGAGGCTCGCGCCAGGCCGCGAGATATGCAAAGCCAACTGAAAAATCAGAAAGCAGAAAGCCCTTACCCCATATTAGCGTTACAGTGATTACTAACAAGCATGTCGCCAAGCCCTCGTTATGATCAAGAATACTTCCTTAGGAATTCGAAAATCACCTACCAATAAGAACAATAGGAGATCGAAAACTGTATGGAGACTTACTAATAAATGAAGGCTAATGCATATTATGATTGGGTGCTATTAATAATCAGGCGGTGGTTTTTACATGCATATGTAAACACATCGGCCTAGGCGGTGATCAAACCTGCTTCCAAGTGACCCATTTTGATGATAACATCAAAATGAAACGTAAGAGTCAAAACAAACTCGCAACGCCATCGATATTTATTTAATGGATTAACATTTACAGGAATTGAATGTGTTCCAGTTACATCAGCAAAACCATTGGAAGGGATCATTAACTACTCGAAATAGATCATTGTCAGCTCTTTTGCTTACACAAAGATGTGTTAATCAAAAATCCTTATTTGGAGGCCCAATAGTTTTTCTAAGTCTGAAAAACACGGTGTTAATTTTGGTTTCAGGTAAAAGTGAAAAGAAATCCA